CTGGCCCTGGTACCTATATTCTTAAACAGCTCAGATGATCAATGACTGTCCTTTTCACCTTGGTAAATTGATGTTCAGTGTATGTTGAAACTGGTTTAACAGTGTGGTGTAAGTTCCAGTAGCTTGTCCTACAGTGCAGCTAGTAATTTCAAAAGTGATCTTGGTGGCTTTTTGAAGTAGGATCGGCTTGTAGGTTTTGTGAAGAGTGAGATCTGAAGCCTAGAGGGTTTGTTACTTAACTAAAAGTATGCTAAATATAACCCTCATTGTTCAGAGATGTTAAAATAAGATGTATGTGGGTTGCCTACACTACAGATGACTGTAAAGAAGACCTTATCCAATTTCCGAAGGACGCACCATGACAACTGGCAAGAACACAAACAGCAGTTCACTGATGACCAGCTGCTCGTTCTCACTGATCTCCTTGTGTCACCATGCTATTATGCATAGAAGGGGGGTAAGTCAGCAAAATTCTGAGTTTACTGAAGTCTGATATCCTTAGGCATGTGTCATTTGGTTTGATGACTGAGAAGTAGGTACCCATCAGTTTTTTATTTCTGCTGGCATTCTTAAATGTCATTGTTTAGATAAAGATTTTTTTTAATATGACGTTTGCGATTGGTAGAGGAAGTAAGTTCCCAGAGGATTTTTCCTTGATACTCTGCTTCGGGTATTAAGCAGAGAATTGATGTGACCGCCCTTAGACCTTTATAAATGAATAGGCTTAGTAGCTTGGAAATGGTTAGAAAATAAGAAATCTTATTCTTAGTTTCCCCAAGAGTGGGGCCTGGGCATTTTGGGTTGCTGTGAGGACTCTAGGTTCTATATAGTTGTGAGAACATTTCATTATCAAGTATGTATGAGAGAGGGAGGACCCAGAAGCCTTTCTACTGGGATAGGAAGAATAAAGAGAATTTCACTTATTGGACTTATAGAGTTGGGTGTCCTGTTGGCTGACTGATTTATTTTTCCTCCCTGATACAGATGAGTAGTCCTCACTTCAAGCTCTTTTCATCAAAAATTCCAGATCCTCAGGTACATCTGTGGTGGCTGTCTGCAGGTTTTAAAACTCTGCTCTTTTGAGCTTTCATCATTTTGGTGGTTTCTGTGTTTGGTCTCATTAGTCTGCATCCCACAGGTTTTCAGCTGCCATTTTGATTTTCTAACTTGTTCGTAACTGTTTCCAAAATATTGATCAATTTTTCTTGGAGGCATCTGACAAAGCCACAGTGTCTCAGACTAGAGTTGATTACCCAGTATGATCATGGCATCCAAGACCAAACAGAGTCTAGAGACTCATTGAGAAGCAGTTTACTTGGAATGGAGAATACCCATCTGTAATACAGGTCCTGCCATTTCATCTCAAATTATTTTGAATTCTTTCGAAATGGCTGTTGGATTTAGATGGAAATAGGGCTGTGGGCCATAAATCTGAAGCCTGGAAAGCCATGAAGATGGAAGGAAAAGAGAACAAGCCTGGAACCTAACCAAGGACCTGATGGATTGCTTGACCAAGCCACAGAAGTGAAGTCTGTCCATGTGCTTCCCACAGACTGGAGTTTTTGGTGCTGAATAGAAGAGCAGTTGCTGAAAAACTGGGGGTTTGGTGAATAAATTTTTGATTGATTGTTGTGTGTGTATACAACGTGTGATTTTGAAAATAAACAGCAACAACTATAAAAACCTTGACTGGGTGATTTTTACCTGTTTTCTTTACAAATATTGTTTGACCCTTTGAAAACTGTTAGACTTCACCGAATGAAGACTGCTGTGTTTGTGGGAATTCTGTATTTTTTTCTTTTTTTCCTTTTTGTTTTTTTCTTTTTGCCTGCAGAATCGTTGAGAGACTAAAAAGTCTTGATATTTAATTGACTTGTTTAATAAATGTTATATAGATGTAAAAGACTGTATAAACTGTAGAGATAGCATTGGCAAGACTTTGTACAGATGCAACCTTTTACACAACGCCAGTGTGTAATTAATTTGTAAAGATTCACATGTAGCTCTTTATTATAGTGATTTTTGGCTTTTGTACCGATTGAATGCCATTTTTTGTTTTTAAATTATTTTCTTTTCATGTTACAAAAGCTGAGGTGTGGGGTTTTGTTTGAGTTCACTTAATGTTAGAATGTCTGAATTTTTATGTAACCTTTTTGTGTGCATCTCTGAATGCGAACGCCACATGTTTGCCTATGACAAGTTTATAGAATGCAAGTTACCTTCTAGGTTAAAGTAATTCACAGGTTGATGAATGTCATCTTGCAACACACTCTGTACAGTCTTCCTCAAAGGAACACTACACTATATTTTTTAGTATCAATTTGCTGAGTGACTCGATACAGACCTAAGCACAGCAGAGGTCCTGGTACAGTGTTTAAGTGTCAGCATACACAGGCGTAATCCCTGTATAGAGTAGTGCCAAACTGATTATTTCATTGTGTAATTAGTTTAAAACCCAATAAATGGATTGTTTTTAACACCTGGCTTTTGTCTTCATTAAGAGGAGAGAACAGTTTTGTAGGCAGTAACTCTCATGGATTCCTTTTGCATCCATAGATCTGGGTCTGTAAATTCCTGCCTCCTGACCATAATGAATTATCTGGATTGGTCCTGTCTGTGGTACAATAGCTAATAGCCACGTGTGAGTTTGCATCTCAATTAAAAATTCATTTCCTCAGTCTCACTAGCCACATTTCAAATGCTCATTAGCTACTTGTGGTTAGTGGTTTACCCTATTGAATAGTACAGATCAATGTTTTCATCAGAGAGTTCTGGACAGCACTGATTTAGATGGTGGTTTCTCAAATTGATGGGACTAAGAATCGTGGGGATTTTGTTAAAATGTGATGTTCCTAGCTCATGATTTTGATACCTCATCCTGAGACCACACTTTGAATAGTGAAGCGTTTTATTGACCATTTCAGCTTTTGCTAACTAAGCTTAATGAAACTATGCCTTAGCCAAGTGGAAGTTTAAAAAATATAAGATACTGGACCCACTGTGTTTCTCTATCAAAATTTCTGTGGTTGGGGCTCATCGTCATCTAAAATCTCCATAGTGCTACATCTGTGCAGCCAGGATTGAGAACCACTTAGAAGACTCAGGCCCCCTATAGACCTAAAAATGGTACAAATCTGAGTTTCTATTAATAACATGTGCCCCATGTGATTCTCATCCCAGGTTTGGAAGTTGCTTATTACTGCGATACCCCAATCTGGTTATACTGTGAATTATTTAGTTCCCTAAATTTTCTACCAGGGGCCTCAAGAATGAAAGTGGGGAGGGGGAGAAAAGGGGTGGATGGCTACCGTGGTCCAAGATGGTTCTTAAGTGTATGTTGTATTAAAAAGAATGGAGAAGGACAAAGCAGGAACAGTGTTAAGGGAGGCAAGAAGAATTTGGCAGGGTGGGGTGGGGTGGTAGCAGGCTAATGGTTAAAAGTCTGCCCATTGAGTCAAGGTAGGTTTCTAGATGGAGGGATGAGTGATGGACAGAGGAAGCCTGTATCTTTGAGGTAAGAGCTACTAATCTAAGTTTCTAAATTAGATCTTTTAAACAAAGACTACAATGTTTCTTTCAAAATTTAGAGGAAAGTTTACCCACAGTTTTTCTTGTTAATATAATTGTTTTGAATATTGCACCATTGTTGAACATCGAGGTTGTTTTCAGTTTTCCCTACTGCAAATTACATTGCAGTGAACATTTTCATAACTTTATGCTTAATTTTTTTCCTTCAAGCATTTCGATAGGATAAATTCTAAGGAGTGAGATTTTTGGGTCAAGGATCTAAACATTTTAATTGGCTCTGATAAATGTTTTTCTCAAAGTGCACATGTATCAACTTGCATCGCCAATGATAGTATTAGAATGCTGGCTTCCTGGCAAATTAGTAGCACATTCATATTTTAACATTATAGCCAGCCCTGCTTGTGGGGTTTTTTTTTTGCAATTTTCCATTTTTTGAGTATTAAGCCAGTGTTCTTCCTAATTTGGTACACTTTGTAAATTATAGTAACTTTAGCCTTGCCGATGGTACTAACTAGTTCTGGAATCTTGGTTCCTGATTTCCTCTTATAGATCTCTAGAATCCTTTACAACCTGTGAATTTTCTTTTTTCCCCCACCTCCCCCAGTATTAGATAATTTCTCCTATAGGTGTAACTGCTTCATTCCAGCACAAACCAACTGTAATCTGTTGTGTCCAAATACCTGGAAATGAGCTGGCAATTGCTTAAGCAGTAGCTAAGTAATATGCAAAGGGATATAAATTGAGTTTCCACTCTCAATACTAACCTTTTTCTGTTGATTATTTTTAGGGTCCAAGGTCACCACTACAACATTGATTAGAACTGCTGCATTGCAAGTAGCTGGGAGTGGAGTATAAGGTGGGTGGGAATTAATTGGAAAATTTTCTTGAAGTTATTTCTTAACAGAATTCTGAGAATATAGTCAACTCCTGGACTGAATGTCTATTTCATAACTTGTCCAGCCCTCTTGTTTTTCTCTTGGTGAAAGCACACGGGAACTTGGAAAGATAAGTTATATGCATAAATAAACTTCTTTGGTACTTGTTGGTATCTAACAGTTCTATTTAAAAAGATAAACTTAGCCAAAATAGGATTTCAGTAGTAATAGTCTAAGTATTTTGTTTGAACGGAATTTTCTGGCACCAGGGTGAAAGGAAAGAGCATTCCAAATAGCATTCTTTCATTATTTCTGAAGAGTACCCCTGAGGTTAGAAAAGGACAATAGTAAGACCCTAATTACCCAGAATAGCGAACGTACTTAAGGAATGCTATTTGATGGTTCTGAGACTAAAGCCCATTTTAGGAGTTGGTTGTTTTGGACATGTTATGTGGACTTGAGAAGAATGAGAGGATGGGAGTTTTTGCTTTGTGTTCCTGCTTACTAAAACTTGCCTGGCTGCACACCTAGCCCCGTTGCTCTTCAAGATAAATTTTTTTTTTTTTTTTTTGCATTCAGCATTACTGCCCGTGATGGCTTGGCTATTTGCTTAGGTAATGTTTTGCTTTGCTTTTGTTTTCTAGTGATTCCCCTTGCTGAGTTCCCTCAGGAAATTCATTAATACTTTCAGAGAGCTGAGAGGAAAAAAAAAATAGGATTATTTTATTTTACATTAGGTAGCGTTGGTTTGATTTAAATTGTTATGAGTTGATTTGCAAATTCTATTTCTCAAAGGAGCACACTGGACGCGGCCGCCAGTGTGACCCAGGAGGACACGTGTGAGCGGCCGCCCGGAGCGCAGCGGCGCGGGCCGCGTTCCTGCCCCCGGAGCGCAGGCCGGTGGGCGGCGGGCCTGGCGAGGCGCCGGGAGGCCCCCGACGCGCGGCGGGGGTGCGCGGGGCAGGCGGGGCGCCAGGCCTGGTGTCCGGCGGAGGGGGCGGCGCCCTCCGCGGCTCCGTGACGGCGGCTCCCGGGACGCGCGGAGGCGGC